CACCATTGCATACATAATACTGCCAACAACACTGGAATATGGTACTTGTGCCATATATCTCTCTTCTTGCTCTGTCTGCAGCGATTGAGCAGCTGATAACTTAAAATGAGCAGCAAGAGGAGTACTCACTGGTTTAGCATCTTTCATGCCAAACCTCTCCAAGACCTTCTCCAAGTACTTCTTCTGGGTCAGGAATAACCTTTTGGTTCCTCGATCTCTTTTGATCTCCATGCCAAGGATTTTCTTAGCTGCTCCTAAATCTTTCATTTCAAATTCACTTTTCAGCTGACTTTTCAAAGTGTGAATTTCTGTCAAATCCTTAGCAGCAATGAGCATGTCATCAACATATAACAATAAGTAAACAAATGAACCATCATTTAACTTTCGGAAGTAAACACAACTATCATACATGCTCCTCGAATAACCATGACCCAACATAAAGGAATCAAACCTCTTATACCATTGTCTTGGAGATTGTTTTAATCCGTACAAGGATTTCTTCAACAAGCAAACATGATCTTCTTTTCCTTCAATTTCAAATCCTTCAGGTTGATGCATGTATATTTGTTCCTCAAGTTCGCCATGTAAGAAAGCTGTCTTAACATCAAGCTGTTCTAATTCCAAATTATACATGGCAACTAAGGCAAGCAAGACACGAATAGAGCTATGTTTAACTACAGGTGAGAAAATATCATTAAAATCAACTCCTTGTACCTGACTATAGCCCTTTGCAACTAATCGTGCTTTATACCTTGCATCTTCAACCCCTGGAATTCCATCCTTTTTCTTGAAGACCCATTTGCAACCAACAATTCTTTTACCTGACGGCGGCTTCACAAGAGACCAAGTACCATTCTTGTGGAGAGATTCAATTTCTTCATTCATTGCAACCAGCCACTTGGCCGAATCAACATTAGAAACAACTTCTGAATAATTGGATGGTTCTCCAATTTCTTCAGTTTCCTGTGCAACTGAAAAAGCAAATGCAACATAATCTCCATACCTTTCAGGTTTTTGAATTTGTCTCCTTGGTCGGTGTGTGGCTATAGAATACTCATTTGGTATAACTTCAGAAGTCATAACTTCTGGAGCTTCAACTTCAGGAGTTTCAACTGTATTTTGCTCCAGGGTTGATGAGTTTGGCTTTGAAGGAATGTCAAGTTGAACCTCCACCTGCTCATGTATTTCCTGCTCCTTATTTGTATTACTAGAACTAGAAGACTCTTTTCTTGTGTGTAACATAGAGGATTCATCAAAGGTTACATCTCTGCTAATTATGAATTTTGGTGACTTGGGATCAGGATACCAGAGTCTGTATCCTTTCACCCCAGATGCGTATCCAAGGAAAATGCACCTTTTTGCCCTTGGTTCTAATTTACCATCATTCACATGCATGTACGCAAGACAACCAAAGATTTTTAAATCAGAATAATTAGCAGGAGTACCTGACCCCATTTCCTCTGGAGTCTTAAAGTTCAAGGGTGTAGAAGGAGCACGGTTGACAATGTAACAAGCTGTAGAGATAGCTTCTGCCCAAAAAGCATTTGTCAACCCAGCATTTGAAATCATGCAACGAGCTCTTTCCAAAAGAGTACTATTCATCCTTTCTGCAACACCGTTTTGTTGAGGGGTCATCCTCACAGTGCGATGTCGAGCAATTCCTTCATTTTTGCAAAATTCATTGAACTCATCATTACAAAATTTTCAAGCCATTATCCGTTCTAAGCCGCTTGACATGTTTTCCTGTTTGCTTCTCAATCAAAACTTTCCATTGTTTGAAAGTTAAGAAAACATCACTTTTATTTTTCAAGAAATAAACCCAAACCTTTCTTGAATAATCATCAATGAAAGTTAACATATACCTGGCACCACTTTTTGACGGGGTACGAGAAGGACCCCAAAGATCTGAATGAATATAGTCCAAAGTACCTTTTGTTCGATGTATTGCTGGAGATTTGAAGCTGACTCTTTTCTGCTTCCCGAACACACAGTGTTTGCAGAACTCCATGTTCCCGGTACTTTGTCCACAAAAAAGACCTCTTTTGCTGAGGATGGAAAGACCTTTCTCACTCATATGCCCCAATCGCATATGCCACAATTTGGTGATGTCGGAATTAGATTGGGTAGAAACTGCAACAGCACCTGTAACAGTGGATCCCAACAAAGTGTACAACGTACCAGATCTGCGTGCTTTCATGATCACCAGAGCACCTAGAGATATTTTCATAACTCCACCTTCACCTGTGTATTTGCATCCAAGAGATTCTAGAGTGCCCAAAGAGATGAGATTTTTCTTTAAGTCAGGAACATATCTAACATCAGTGAGAGTTCTTACCACACCTCGCACATTCTGATTTGAATTGTACCTTTACCAAACACTTTGCAGGAAGCATTGTTGCCCATCAAGACAACTCCACCTCCAACAGATTCGTATGTGGCAAATAAATCCTTATTGGGACACATATGATAAGAACAACCCGAATCCAAAATCCACTCATTGTTAGATTTAAAACTATTACTAGTAGCTAAAAAATATTTTTCCATCAGACTCATCAGTGGCTACACTTGCTTCAGCGGGGTCAGTATTTTGATGCTCATGTTTGTTTTCCTTATGCTTTTCTTTGTTTTTCAACTTATAGCATTCAGAAATAATATGACCTTTCTTATGACAATATTTGCACACCACATTTTTATATCTGGACTTTGACCTTGATTTAGACCTCTCACTACTTGATTCTTTCTTATTAGATCTACCTCTTACAAATAAACCTTCCCCATGGGTTACACTACTTTCTCCAGTAATATCTCTATCTATCTGTTCTTTTGATTTTAAGATAGATTTAATTTCCCTGTAAGAGATATTATCCTTTCCATAAAGCATAGTATCTCTAATATGCTTAAATGATTGGGGTAAGGAAATAAGTAGTAAGACGGCTTGATCCTCATCATTAACTTCAGCATCAATATTACTCAAATCCATAAGAATAGAATCAAATGCATCAAGATGTGAGAGTATAGAAGTACCTTCAACCATACGAAATGTGTAAAGCTTTTGCTTTAGGTATAGTTGGTTTTCCACTATCCTTTTCATATACAAGGTTTTTAGTTTTTCCCACATGCCTTTGGCTGTGGATTCTGCAGATACTTCACGTAAAACCTCATTTGAGAGATTTTAAAATGATACCTGATTTTGCCTTTTTGTCTATGACGGCAAACTCCATGTCCGTCATATTTTCTGGCTTCTTCTCCTTCCTTCTAGTGCCATATCTAGGCCATCTTGAATTAGTATAGCCTCTATCTTTAATTGCCACATCCCGAAGTTTGCACTTCGGTTAAATTTTTCAACATAAGTCTTTGTTATTGTCATTTTTGGCTACTGAAATTAACCCGATTAGATCCGGCTCTGATACCAATTTGTTAGGATCGAGAACTTAGGTAGTGCGGAATTTAGCCAAATAATGTTGTAATGACAATAACAAAGACAATAGTAAGTTGATAATAACGAAAGTAAAAACAATTAAAGAAGACACCAATTTAACGTGGTTCGGTCAATAGACCTATGTCCACAAGCGGAGAGGAGCAATTTCACTATATCAACAAGAGTACAAAAGAGAGTTATAGAATTAGAGTAAATACTCTAATTAATCCCAAATACCCAAAGAGAATAACCTCACAAGATCACTCCAACAAAGGGTTCACACAAGTGTTTTGTTAGACAAACTCTCCTACAAAATTACTCTTAATGGAAAGACAAAGAAAGAAAACAATGAAATATTTTCATATGCTTCAAGGTGTGTTTCAACTAATGTCTAAGCTCCCTATTTATAGAGAAAAAAATAGGCTTGTTGATGTCATGGATGATGTCTTTGGAAGATGCAAAATATTCAACATCTCAATGTGAATATATCAACTATGGTGGCTTCCAAATCTTTGACAAATATAGTTGCCAAATCTTGACAAATATGGCTACCAAATTTTCACATTTGTAGCTTCCAAATCTTTCACAAAAGAAAGATAAAATAACTTTCTTTCATCAAACAAAAAAAGCCACATTACATATACCAATAATATACATCATCACACCTCACCATGAAAATATGCTGCATCAATTCATCAATCACCAAGGAAAATAGAAACGAGTTAAGTGTTGATCCCTGGTGCAACGCCATCTCGACTAGAAAGTGCTCTGAGTCTGCTCCCACTATTCTTACTTGAACTTGCTGACTGGAAGAGACTTCGTGAACATGTCGGCAGGGTTGTCTCTTGTGTTAATCTTCTTAACAGAGACCTTTCCTTCTGCAATGGTTTCTCGAATGAAGTGAAGCCAACATCTACATAGGACTTCCCTCGAGACTTTATATTCTGTTTTTTCGAAGTCAGTAGACACCATATGTAAGTCCCTTTACCATTCTCTGTACTTCTCCACCAGTCAACTCACAAGATGAATGGTTTCTGAGTAAGTTTGTAATATTTGGAGGGCTTAAATTGAACACACATCTGTCTGAGAAGAATATCGACTTCTCCGAAAGCTAGCATAAGATAGCTTGCAATATACTAGGTACTCTTTACTTTCCAGCTGATAGCACAACCACCAATGCAAAAAACATAGCCTGTTAGTGATCTTCTTTTGTCAAGATCACCTGCATAATCAGAGTCTACAAAACCAACCAAAGTGTTAGGATTTTTCCCAAACTCCAAACATGTGTTTGAAGTGAATCACGTTCATGGATGACTCATTCATAATCCACAACCACTACTTCACTTTAATGTCATATATAAATCTGTGTGATTATCTTATCAACCTTTATCATACAAGACTAATAATTTTACTATGCACCAAAAGCCTTCTCTTACTTTTACTCAACTTGTAAAATCAGCTTACATCAGAAAGCAAATCTGCCAACTCAAAAGTGGACTACACCACATGTGCACACAAATCTTGATAATAAAATAAGACAGCATGAGATAGCTTACTGCAATTAGAAAGACAGATAAAAGAAGACATTTTCAAAATCTTTGCAGCAAATTGAAAAATATGCTATTTCGATGACCCATAGCTGAATCATGCAACAGTTAATAGTTAAAAGATTCATCAACTTGTCCCAAACTGCTGCATATATATACAGTACTGCAAGGAATGTTCTTAAACCATCAACCAAAAACATAATAATATCTCAAGTACCTTCACAATATAGCCATTTTCTCCAAAATCAGAAGTCACAGTGAAGAACTTATTCGGTAGAAATGAGGTGAGTGTTCCCATGAGTTCAGCAGTATACTCATTTGAACGGCAGCCAAAAAGACTACTGTCTCTATCTGCTTGCCAAGACCATCTTCCATCTGCAACTTCAAAATACTTGCCTAAAATAAAGCAAAGTGAGTATTTTCCTCTAAGAATAATCGACCTGTTCTTGTATTAGTTATAAAGAGTATTAATGACCCTTGAAGAAGAGATCATTAAAATCAAATATTCTTGAATATGCAGGAAAATCTGTAATTAGAAAGATGAACAAACTTGGAGAAAGGATGGACTGTCTTGCACAAGGTATCCGCGAGCATGGTGAGCACTTATATTCATGATGAAAACTTAAAAGAACAATCGAAAATTTACCAAGACACTATTTTATTTAAGTTTAAAACTAGTATTTCGAAGTTGAAATTGTGTGCGGACATGAGTTTACTTCTAAAAGTAAAGGTTGAAGCATTCTTAATGAAAACCATCATCCCACTAGAAAAATTCCTAAAATAAGTTTTTTAAATAATTTTACCACTATTTCATATACTGAAGCTCAATATTTATAAATATGGCGCCAAACATCAACTTGT